ATATATATATATATATATATATATATATATATATATATATATATATATATATATATATATATAAATATATATATAGGTTGAGAACTGGCGCGGGCTAGCTTCCCTTGATAAGGGTGAAATGAGTCTCTCTGAGTTTTCTGTTAGCAATCCTTTTAGTGTTGGTTTCACAATAAAAAGACTTCAGATGGGAAGGAAAAGCTTAACCCGGTCATTATATTGCATGTATCTGGCTGGTATTGACTTGTGATCCGGAGAGGTTAAACTCCGCGATAATAACACATGAGGACTGTCGTTCGGAGTTTCCGTGGCAAGTCTTTTGCACCATGGCTAGTCTTTTATCGACAGATCAAAAAATGTGGATGATCCGACACGAGCCTTCAGCACTAGAAACAAATCATTGTGTTGGTTTTTCTGGTAACTACGTCTAATTAGTTCCACACATATCTGGCTATTGCAAAAAACTCTATGAAACAACATCAACTTCATCTTGGCACTTGGAATGTACAAATTCTCCAGGACAACAACTCAGCACCAGAAAGAAAAACAGCTCTGGTCGAATTGGAGCTAAAGAAGTACAACATTGATATAGCTGCACCGAGAAGTAACCATCATTTGAATACATGAAATGGGAAAGCAAAATAAGACATCTAACAGGGTTCCTGCTGCACTTTGATGCAATACATTCTGCTGTACTGTTTGTTGTCTTTTGTGCAATTCTCGATTGGTCTCAAAAGCCATGCAGATAATTAGTTTCTGGCCGTCGGAATACACACACACACACACATATATATATATATATATATATATATGTGTGTGTGTGTGTGTGTGTGTGTTTTTTTTATGCAATTACACGTATGTGTAGTGATTTTTCAAGCGTAGCTTGGATGTGGCACATGGCCTTAAAAATAAGGGGCATACATAAAAGCTTGCTAACCATTTTTTGAGGTGCCCAAATTGATTTTCCAAGCGTAGCTTAGATGTGGCACAAGACCGAAAGTATGAGGTACCCGGTGAGGAACGAACTCACTATTCAGTCGTAATTGTTCTAGCGAGGCAAGCTTGCTAACCATTACACCGCCTTGGGGTGCCCTAATATAGTGATTTTCTAAGCCCGGCTTAGATGTGGCACATGGCCGAAAGTATGGGGCACCCAGTGAGGATCGAACTCATTACTCAGTCGTAACTGTTCTAGCAAGACAAGCTTTCTAACCATTACACCACACCCATTTACACCAATGTGTTTGAAGTTTTGTAAGTAAGCCTGTGTCGTAGGTTTAATATATATGTAAGTATATAAAAACATAAACACACACACACACACACACACACACACACACACACATATATATATATATATATATATATATATATATATATATATATATATATATATATATATATATATATATATATATATAATATCGTACATTGAGTCCTGGTGTTATTATTTACATCATATATATATATATATATATATATATATATATATATATAATTCAGATGCTGAGTCAGCACCTAAAAAATTTCGTTGTGCATGAAACTTAGTCGTGCTACTTCGTGAAGAAAAATATCTTCAGATGTTAAGAATCGGTGAGGAATAATATGTATATTTATTAATATATACTTAATAGCTCTGTTGTATTGCATGTTGTTTGGTTTTATTAACTCTAGCACTACATGGGAGATAGTTATATATATATATATATATATATATATATATATATATATATATATATATATATATCATAAAAAGTTAAGATATCATTCAGACCGTAGCAGTAAACTCCACTTCCTTCTCTCATTTGCCTTTTTATCTTCAGAGAGAAATAATAGTAGAAATAATAATAATAATAATAATAATAATAATAATAACAGTCATAATAATAATAATAATAACAGTCATAATAATAAGAAGTAGTAGAAGAAAAACAAGAAGAAGTCGAAGAACAGTAATAACAACACGAAAAGCTAATAAATGCGCATGCGTACTTGTGTGATTACCGCCTCGTCAATCTTTAGAACAGAAAACCTGGTTGGCGTAATGCAAAGAAATCCTGAATCTGGTTTCAATAAGGTACGGACAGTCGAGTGTATTTAGTACGTTTGAGATTATAATTTTCGCATGTAAGTACCACGTATCAAATCACGTCAGATCAAATTATGCTATAGACGAGTAGACAGTCGGGATCCTTCTGGTCCGTTCTTGGGCCTCATTTGGCGTCAAACCTGTTACTTCAGCTGTAACCCAATACAGCATGTATTGGTCTGCGGCAGATGTAACCGTTTTGGGAGTTGAGGATCTGTGCCTTACGCAAGAGAATTGGTTCGAAGTCTATTTCAGGCAGAATTTGATCTCGGTTCTTAGGCGGTAATGAATAGTGGCTCGGAGTGAGGATTCGGAGAGCCGAGTTCGAATTCCAGTTGCATTCGTTATATTGATCTATGTGAAGATAACCTTGGGAAATGTATGCGTCCAACAGCTATGGATATATAGCAAGACAGATTCATTCTTTGGGTTCTCCAGTCTAGGAGAAGGAAAAAATCTGAATTAAAAATCTACTATGGGTTCAATGACCTCACCAGCCCGCCACTGGCCAAGCGTTGTTAGTACGGCTACACCCCAGAAAACAAGGTGGTACATCTAACAAAAGAGAGGCCCTGGATTTATATTCATCGATCTCATAGGTGGGTACTTGTAGCGATAGGGGTTATCATTGTTGTTTATTTCCGACAGAATCACAAATATATATAGCGGTTGTATTACCATTGTTTAACTTTGGCTAAGAAAGATGAGATTAAGGACAATGCGTGAACGCAATGCAATTCATACTTGACGTAAATAGCACATAGAATAAAATACAAAACTGAATTGAATGATTCCAAAACATAACAATTAAATTTATTTATGTTTGATGTATATGCATGCTAACTGAAAAGGTAGGACAGAGTCGTGTCCCTTTGATTTGGTAATATTTGTACCGGAATTCATATTAAGAAGAAGTAATATTAAACATCTAATTTAGAAGAATAAAGTTTGGAATTGTGAGTTGCAATGTTGGTAAAAGTTCAGGAGTGATTTCAGAGTTTCTGAATGTTGGTAATTGTCTTTAACGTCTCACTGCAATGGCTAAGACGGGAGTTCTTGAAGGTTACATCTTGGTGCTTGGTTGCAAGGAATGAGATGTGCGAGAGAGATGAATAGAAAGAAAACTACTCGAGGGAGTTTACACCTGTTGGGTTTATATAATGGTCGTGTACCACGTGATAGGATCACAGCATATGAGCGGGAAAACAGATTGGTCGCGTGCAGGCGATTTAATTGGTCGGAACTGGCCAATCAACAAGCTAGATTGAAGATTATTGACCAATGAATACTTGTTATATTCGTAGGATGTTACCAGATGGGAAGAGTGCATTTCCTAAAAAGAGGTAAGGCTGGTTTGTTGTGGAAGATCCCACATACTCATTGGGGTTTAGGTTTTTCGTTATGTTGTTGTTATATACGCAGACATCTTCTTTTATGTGACGTGTCTCTTAAGGACCAGGGTGACTATGGTTCTCCATATCTTCCTTTCCTTTATAGCTCTAAGCAATGTTTGTTCATTTATCTTTCCTCGTTCATATATTGCCAGGCATTTATTCAAGCTTGTTCAGGCCACCTCGAGGCGTTGTAATGGTTAGCGAGCTTGCCTCGCTAGAACAATTATAACTGAGTAGTGAGTTTGATCCTCATTGGGTGCCCCATATTTTAGGCTTGGAAAATCACTATACAACCTCGTTCGGTAGGTTACTTGCCGTATATCCTATGAGCGCCAAACTCTCTAAATCAGTGGTTCCCAACAGATTTTAAGCCACGCCCCACTTTGGTATTTCTAAAATTCTAGTGTCCGCCTGTAATATTTAATTCTTACATATTCAAAACGTTACTGAAATTCATGTGAAGGAAGCTTAAAAGGCCATTAACTTAGTCTCTAAACAAGCCCCCAAAGAACATGGCGTCCATGAAGAAAAAAATTAAAAACAAAACAAAACAAAGAAAAACAGATAAATATACATGATTTCAAAAGATATAATAGAAAGTCGAACTGTACCCTTTATTTCGTTCACTGGCGTTGACTGTTCTAGTTCCACGTGCCATGTCTAATGGATATCAGTTACCAGTCATCTGTTAATTTCCCTCTGAAAGTTCTCCACTGCCTTAAACGGGTATTGAACTCACACTCTTTGGGTCCTGTCACTGGGTGTAACTAAAGCCTTTATCCACTGTACCATGAGTGTAGCTCAATACCCGGTTAAGGCAGTGGAGAACTTTCAGATGGAAATTAGAAGGAGATAACTGATAACTGACATCCATTAAGTATGGTACGTGGAACTAGAACAGTCGACCCCAGTGAGCAAAATAAAGGGTTCATTTCCAATTCCAACCACCTGAAGAAAGCCGGAGCGTACAACGGCCGAAACGTTGTAATAAATATGGCGACAAAGACGAGGACAATAGTTCGAATAATGTAAATAATGTACATAATACCTCATCTCAGAAATATAGACAGATGTAATTGATTATAATTTTATAATGTAATATACTTGTAATCATGAAATAATAATACAAAATAGAATTTGAGCTCATGTTGTTATGGTAAGCCGAAGGGTGCAGGCCCTTTGCATGCCCCACCAAAATATTACAATACGCCACAGGTGGGGCATGCGACCCACGTTGGGAAATTTTGCTCTAAATCCTCTTTCCTCATTCCGTATCCCAGTTCTCTTTCTTATTCTAAATATAACTGTACTTTCTTCCCATTTTTTTTTCATCTGTCATCTCTTTTCTGTCATGAAGCTCTTTATGTATGTTACATGCTCTTTTCCCCTGCCTCCTCTTGCCTTCAATACATCATGTGTGTGTCAAATTCACTAAAAAATCTTTCCTCAATACATCCCGCAGAAATGTGACACCTGACAAATGTGCACAACTATTCTTATAATCTTCATATCTATTTGTCTATGGTCACATCACGGTGGAAACATTCGTTCTCATTTGATCGCCGAAGTTAAGCAGTATCGAGCCCAGTCAGTACTTAGAGGGGGACTGTATGCGAACACTGGGTATTGTAAGCAAACTCCTATAATTCGAAATATGTCTCGGCTGAAAATAATTAACAACGGTCTCATAAGCCCAAAATAAAATAAAAACAAATCAATTGAAAACACTGCACACACACACACACACACACACACACACACATATATATATATATATATATATATATATATATATATATATATATATATATATATATATATAAATGGAATCTCCCGCCGGTTACGGCGTATGAAGATCTGACAACCAATTGGTTCAGTTATGAAATCTTGTGCAATAATCTTAAGTGGCACTTCAGATTATTTTATTAAATAAAATATTAATTACATTTACCGGCCTGTTCAAGAAATTTCGTAAAATACATGCGTTCGCTGACAGGAATCGAACCTCTGTCTTATACGAGACCGTCAATTAGTTCTGACATGCTATACCACTAAGATACAGAGAAGCGTCCTGTTAACAAATAACACACACTCAAACACTTAACAGAGACACATCCCCTCTCCAGGACCAATAAAACTGTCAAACTAACCAAGGGAATTCAGAGCAGCATGTATCTATCCAGCTCTTATCTCAAATAACAACTTAAAAGAGACTGTTTGACCAACACAAGGAATGTTAAAAGATTCATGTTAAAAAGATAAAAAAATAAAAAACAAAAATGAAAACTACAGACAAAAGTTCATTTTCTCCAGCAAAACATACATTTCTGTAGTTTACTGCTACCAGCAAGCAGAGATATTTCTTCTCCTGATGATAGCCATTTTGGTCGAAACTAGTCGAGGAATCTAAATGAAATAATAATAAAAAAATCAAAAGAATATTAATCTACAACCCAGTGTGTCTGAAGATTTTAATTTTTTAATATTTTTTTATTGTTCAAAAAAAAAAAAAAATATGTATATATATATTACTCAACAATATCTATATATAACTCTACAGTCTAACATGCATGTGTGTGTGTGAGCGTCAAGGGCATTTAAATCCGCTGAGTAATGAGACTAAGATTATTCAGGGACCTTCCGATGCACGTCCGGATATTAAAAAACAAGGCTGCAAATGTCATCGTTGACACTGGTGTGACGTCGTCCACCGGTCGCAGCGCCAACTGTGACGTTCTATCCTGATATACCACGGCGCTAGTTTGACGTGGCCGTTCCAAGGTCCTATCCCGGTCACGACACCAGTTGTGACGTCCCTAAACAGCACCAATTGTGACGTCTTCGCCGCGGCGCCAGCTGTTCGCTCCTCGCTGCTCCGTCCCGGTGTCGCTGCTCCAAACGTGACATTCGCCTGTCGCGGCAGTCGTGTTGTCTCGTACTGTGACGACCAACTGGCTTGGTATCGGTCGCGGCACCCAAATGTGACGTTCTAACCTTTTGGTGATTCGGGTGGGAATCTGATTAGATTTGATATCAGCCTCGCCGTTCCCAACTCGCTTCCAACGCCTGGTTACCAAGGTAACTGCACTGATCCCCAGTCTGCCTACCCACGTTGTGAATTGATCTTAGACAGACGAGATCAAACAGGGGTTGGAGCCGTAATGCAAATTGAGTTCAACGGGGGTGATAACACACAAATATGCATAAAAGAAAAAAAAATGAAAACTCAAAAAGTTCAAAGTATCAAAGAAAAAGGTAACAAACTTTATGTCTAGTTGTTCGATACATAGGACTGCATCCCTCTCCCGACCCGTTCTGTGGATTGTGACACGTCGTTTTCGCTAGGCAAGTTTTAACGCTTCAAGTTGTTTGCTCTCTAAGAAATTTGTGTTTCGGTGTGTCTCTGGACGAAAGTCGAAAAACTTATTTCGGTGGTCTGGTCATAAGTCGCTCTTCAAAATAATTGTTCTTGGTTGAAGAGGAGTCCACAATTTTGCGTGAATCTTGGTCAGCTATCTTGAGGCAGCTTCAACTCTGGAAACTGGAGCTCGAACTTTCTGGACACTCATCTCTGCCGTCAGGGCGCGAACTACTGGACACTCATCTCTGCCGTCAGGGCTCGAACTACTGGACACTCATCTCTGCCGTCAGATGCTGAACTAGTGGACACTCATCTCTGCCGTCAGGGCCTGAACTTTCTGGACACTCATCTCTGCCGTCAGGGCCGAACGAACTGATTTCTGCCTGTTGGGGCCTGGCTTTTATTGACGCCGACAAAAACCGGGTTGGGTCTGTTGGCGTCGGGGAGTTCCTCGATAATTCTAAATACATATCCACCTCTTTTATTTCTGGTTAGGGATTTTTTCCTCTTTTCCATTTTGGTAACTTTTTTTCACTCCACTTTCTCACCATACTTCTGAGGGCGTGAACTGCCCTCCCCACTTCTTCGTAGCGGCTTCTCATACTTATACTCTGGATGGGGGCGTCGAAAGCCTTCTCCGTGCGTCACGTGATCACTCTCGGCCAATGAAGTCTTGGTCGGGTATCTTTCCTCCTCCTTCGTGCGTCATGTGATCACCACTTGACCAATGACGTCTTAGTCGGGCGTGAACAACCCGCGGCTTTGTTTCGGAAAAAAAATACCTTGCTTAACTCAAAAAATTAATTATCTCCTCTTTCCTTTTTTTTCTTTCAAATCGCCGTTATCATGAACGGATAATATGACAACTCTTTGTTCAACACGTGGCGTTTGTCAAGCAGTTTATCGCTAATTCATCAGATGGCTGGTTTTCCGACATGGCCTCAGAAAAGAATTTTCTCCAAGTTTTCAGTCGGTCTGACGTCTCCAAGGAAGAAATAAAAACATTTCTTATTCCATTCATTTTCCTTCGGTTCATGTGTCTGATAACAAAATTTTATTATCGCAGGGCAAAAGTTTGTTTTGTCGAAAAGAGTTTAGTTAGCGGGACTGCTTGTGTGGGATTTTAATTTTCCATATCTAGCTAAGGCTCCGTAGCTACACCTGTGTTTTGTCAATTATCAAAATCTAACGTTTTCAAGTGGACTTTCTTTGGCGAAAATTTCTTGATAACACAATTGCATTCGCGCAGGCCAAGTAGGAAAATTGGTCAATGATTGCTCGCAGGTGGCCTTTAATTTTCATATCTGTCCAAAGTCTTTTTTAGTCGCCTGTTTCTTGTCGTCACTTATCGAAATAACATTTTCGCTTGAATTTTTCCCTTGGCCGGTGGACTGTGTTTTGATAATAAGATGCCTTCTCGTACCAATAGTTTGTTTTCATATCCTTAGATAACACTTCCCTACCCACTCAATCTCATTGTCATTGTAATGACACTTTTTCGCCATTTGCCACTTATCCAAAATAACCCCTTTTTTTTATTGCCTCTTAAGCCGTGTGTGTGTGTTCGCTTATCATCTATGATCCATCTCGCATTACTTTTTCCCTTGCTTTCTTCTTTTCTTTCCTTTTCCCTTTTTGCCTTTCTTTCTCTGCCTGGGTGCATGGTGCCACACTGGTCTGTTTTCGTTTCTTCAACATTCATGCAAATGTCTACCCGTTTAACCAACAAATAACAATAAAATTCACTCTCTCGAAACTTCAACTGCTCCTTTGTTAGCGAGGACAGTGCCGTGTTATTTTGTCTTTGCTCTTATCCGGAGGCACTTGTCATCAGCAGTCCCAGGGAAAGTTGTGACATCCAACGCGGATTTCCTTGGTCGATAAGGCTAACATGCTTGGGGATTTGACAAAAATGATCTTCCTTGCTGCAAGTGGCGATACAGACAGCCTGCATAAATTGTCTACTGTTGAGTGTTAGTTAACGAGCAATTTATCTTAACTCAGCGTCTACTCTGTTCCGTATGATAATAACTAAAATTACACACGCATATATATATATATATATATATATATATATATATATATATATGTAGCTAATATTAGTGGTAAAATATACACATACATATGCAAAATATATAAATATATATACATAGGTGCATACACATACATGTATATTTTTTGAATAAAAAATTCCAAGAGGATAGAATCCAGCTAGAACCCAATCCCCTTCCACTCACCTCTCTAAAATTTCTCTCTGTTAAGTTTTAATCTCCCACCTTCTCTCGTCTGTTACCCCTCTCTTTAGTTCTAACATTCGTCCCACACTCTCATACTTACACTCTCTCTAAATTCTATTTTTTATTTCCGGAGTTGTTTTTTCTGTTTTCTTTTTGAATTTGTAGGTCTGATGAATTGGATCGTATTTACGATTCCAATGGAATAAATTATGACCATGGAATATTAGTGTTTAAGCCTTTTTTTTATATATATATATATATATATATATATATATATATAGTTGGATTGATATGAGTTTGTGACCCTGGGTTTTACGCCCTTGCGATCGTAAAACTGTTATATTTACCCCCCACCACCACCACGAGGGATGTATGTAGCACAAGGCCGAGTTTACCGTGGGGTACCGAACCCATAGGCTCGGCAAAAATATTCCCATAGAACCCGTATAAACGGGTTCAGGGCCTGTCTACCTCCCCGGGCGAAACTTTGCCCTTCGGCAAAGCCTCGTCCGGGCTCCTCTCCGCCGAGGCGGAGAGTTTGACACTCATGAACAGTCTGGTCGATCGTAAAACTTATTAACTTTCAAAATTTTGTAATCTATTTATGGTCACATACTCACATCATTCCAACTAAATACGTTAGCTCTGTCACTGAGCGCTTTCCAATAAGTTCTGCGCATATATAATATATAAATAATATACATAAAAATGACATATATATATTGTTATGGGACCTTACCCATAATAACAAAATGGACTATTCCATACGTATTAAATACTGCGCCTCAAGAGGAAGCAGGGAGTTCCGTCTGAAGTCGGCGACCGGCTGACCGGCTGATCGGTTGAACTCTCTGCCTTCGGGCGGGGAGGAACCCGAACGAGGCTACGCCGAAGGGCGGAGTCTCTTTCGGGGAGGTAAACCGACCCTGAACCCGTTTATACGGGTTCAAAGGGCATATTTTGAGCCGAGCCCACGGGCTCGGAGATCCCACGTTAAACCAGCCTTGTGCCACATGATGCCCTCGTGGGGGAGGC